TTTTTCAAATGGATGATCCTTTAAAAAAAAAAATCCATCCTAAAAAAGCACTCATTTATCCATCTGATACAGAGGCGTCTCATCTGAAAGTCAGACAACTCTCATTCCTGCAGCTACTAGATGTATTAGGTCCTAAGTCTGTCTTCGGGGCCAAGGCCGTGAATTCACCTAAGAGCAGTTCTAGTCATGTGAAATTTGCATGAAATCTCAGTATCCATAAATCAACACATGGTCAAGGTGACCACCATGGCTGATTTAATTCAAATAATTTTCAAATTTGTCAAGCAGGCTTTTTCCTGAGGGCTTCTGCTCTTCCTATTGCCTCCTCCTGGAATAATCCATCTCCCAAATATCCGCGTGACTCACACTCTCACTTTCTGCAAATGTCACCTTAGCAGTGTCTTTCTTTTCCACCCACAGAGAAATAGGACCCATTTTCTACCTCCCACCCCCAGCACTAAGTCCCTTACCCCACTCTGTTTTTCTCCACAGCCATGATCACCACCTGATATACTTCAATAGAATGTAAGCTTCACAGGGGTAGGGGATCAAGACTGAATATTTTGTTCACTGCTTTGAGAAAGCCCAGAAAACTGCCAGGCATGAAGTAGATGTTCAATAATTATATGGATTATTGGATTAATGAATAAGGGACACTGTTTATTGGAGTTCAGCCAGTCTGGGAAAGGTCATCTGAAGTTAGGGTCCATTTCCCCAGCCTTCTTTCCCACACGTTACTGGTCATCAGGAAAAGAAGAAGGAAGGTAGTGTACTGCAGGTGTACTGAGCACATAGGATCCTATATTGAACAATGTATCTTCTCCTGGGGAAAGTGCGTGGCAGAGCCAATCTGAGGTGTAGACAGAGAAGGAGAATGGGCCCTTTGCCTCGTTATCCAATGGGAAAAGAGACTCCCTGGGCCCAGCCTGGGGGAGGGAGGTGGGTATGGGGCGGAAGCCCAGGCCAGGACTTTAGCCCTGCCCACGCAGCCGTCTTAGTTTGCGGGAAGGAGATGAGGCCTTAAGGGTCAAATAGTGTGTTCCCCTTCCTCACAAAGCAGCAAATACCTGTTGATCCTTTCTTTTCACATTTTCTTTTTTCTCGTTGATTCCTGGATTTCAGCACTGGGATTTAACTTTCATTACCGACGTGCATTGAGACCCAAGGTATGGAGTGACCTTTCATTTCTCTAGATGTGTGTTTTGTCCGCTCTAAAATAGGAAGTTGGATTCCGGAGGAGTTCTTGCATCCACCGTCTGTGTGGAAAACAAGGAAAGGGACCAGGACCCCCGGAGTGGGGAATGCTGCTGATTTTTCGGCTGCGCAACAAGGGTAAAGACCAGGCCCGGGAGGCGACTCTGCTGTCACCTGGGGTGAGAGTGGGAGACCAAAACTGGAGTTTGCACGTGGGAAGCTAGCACTCTTTGAGTGGAGATTTGGTGTGACCAAATCTGCACTCCTTGCAGTGCCTCTTCTTAATTCTTTTGAGTTATGGTGGTAGGCATAGCCCCACTTTCACCAGTCCTGGTGAACGCAGGCAGCTCCCGAGGCTCTGCTAGAGAGCAGGTGTATCTCCTTCTGTCTGAGGATATTCCTGTCACCTGTGCTCTGCCCTCACTCCTCCACTCTGGGCCTCCTCTGAGCCTCTTTTCTAACCGAAAATGAAACAAACCTCCTAAAAACTTTACAGTCCCTTTCTCCGCGCTCCTAGTGTATGTCTCTCTTCCTCTTTTTTAGAGGAAAGCATTATTTCTAGAGGAAGTTCTAGAAATAATTACGGATGCTTAGTCCCTGTGCCGGCATCCTCTCACCTACAGTATGAGGCTCTTTCACTCGCGCTCCCTCTACTTCCAGCAGTGACTTAAAATTGCTCTATGCAGTTTATTAGTGATCGCCAACCTGCCAAATTTAAGAACAGTTGGGAGGCATTCATTTCTTTATCTCATTGCAATTTGACAAATGGATATTGATTGCCTCTTTACCTTTTTGTTTTTCCACTTATTTGAAGAGTCTATTCTGATTAAAGAAAATTGTCACAAATTGTCATAAATTCAAAACACAATAATAGTTAATATTCTCATTTCTGATGCTACTGGGTATATTAGGAAAGGGACCAGGACCCCCAGAAGGGGAATGCTGCTGACTTTTGGGTGCAACTCTGACTTGGCAGTCACCTGGGGTAACAGTTTGGCTTCCCATCCATCTATTTTTTATGCAGAGATTTTCTTTTGATTTCTTAGTTGTAATCCTCATATTCCTGCCATCTTTTTTAATCTTGCACATAGTGCATATTGCTGCATGATGAGGTTATACTAATTACTAATCAATCAAATGTATGCTATATTTTATGCATTTATTTTATTGATCATATTTATTGATAACAATAGGTTATTAATTTCTTGACAGTTATTTACTATTTTAAATAAACACCTTTATGCACAAAACTAACATGCTGTATTTGGGATTGTTTTCATTGGATAATTTCCCAGAGAAGAAGGTACTGCTTGGAAAGTAATGAATGTCTTTAAAGTTCTCAGTAGTTGAGGACATGCAACTTCCTTTTTGGGGGGCGGGGGTGGTCAGGGGGAGAAAAGGTAAACATTGTATTTAACATGTATACACAGGAGCCTTCAGAATGAAGACCCAATTTCCCAATGAGTTACAGAAACTTAAACACCATCTTGAGGTTACAGCTACAATAATTTCTTAATGTCATTTTTGGTATTTTAGTTTGCATATTTTTAAAAATTTTAGATTCAAGGGATACATGTGTGTGTTATGTGGGTTTAGTGCATGATGGTGAGGCTTGGGCTTCTATTGAACCTGCTCCCCAGCTGGTGGTCATGGTACTCAATGGGTGATTTTTCAACCTCATTCCTCTCTTTCCCCACTTTAATTGTCCCTAGTGTGTGTTGTTCCCATTTTTATGCTTGTGTGTGCCCAGTGTTTAGTTTTCACTTATAAGTGAGGACATGCAACTTTTCAAGTGTAGCAGTTAACATTTATACTAATAATATCTACTTCACTTTCTTCTTTTCATGGAGCTTTGTTTTTTAAAGCTTATTTTTGCCATTTTGATCATTGAGAAGGGATATCTCCTGGTTTACATTAGTTTTGACATTTGCTTAAGTTGGAACATTTTCTGAAAAACTCATTAGCCATGTGTGCTTTTTTCTCCCCTTTTATGAATAGGCTATTTACAAAAAATTTGGTTTAGTGCTGTCCTCATCTATTCATATCATGCCTTCTGGGGATATGAACCTTTTTAAAACCATATTTTGGTGTGACCTATAACTTAGGTACAAGAGTGCATTAAACAGAAACATGAATAATTACCAAGTGATCAATCCTATAGACCCACTTTGCCTTGCTTTCCCTCATTTACCATATTCTGAATGTCATGGAGAAACTTCAGTGTTCCCTTTGAAGTTTCCTCAAACTTATCCCTTTTTGCTTTTATTTAAAAAAAAAAAAAAAAGGAAAACCCTTTTGGGTCCCCTCCCACTGTGGGAGCTTTTATGTTCGCTCAATAAATCCTGCTTTCTCAAAAACAAACAAACAACAAAAAATTTCTCTAGAACTTTTTTTTGTCAGATTTATCTGTAATCTAGAATATTTAGTTAGTTAAAAAAACAAACAACCCTAAAACAACTGATAGCTCACTAATTATTGTAGGATAATGTTCAGATTTACTATATAGTTTTTCAGATAATTCACCTGTTCAAGCAGTAAACTTCCTCTTCTGTACATTATTATCCCTCGATCCATCTTTCTTTTCCAATGGATGAATTGGGGACTATTTATCCATCTTGTACCAATCAAAATGATCAAAGGAATTAAGTGGTAGGAGTTGTTCCATCCTATTAGCAAGAAAGGAGGAGGCATTATGAAAGAATGGAAAGGGCAGGAGTTTTAGAGAAATATTTGAGTTGAGTTCCAAATGTAGCCCCTACCAGCTCTGTCTCTTCAGGAAAATTAGCAAAGATTAGATGCTGTATTTGAAGGTGCTGGGAAGAATGTAGTTTAAGTGGTAAACTGGAGTACCTATCTTGAATAAGAAATTGAAGAAGACCTTTAAGATGGCTGTAAGGGGAAAAAAGGAGAAAATGCAGGACATAAAAGGATTTGGTGGTGTTGAAGAACTGACAAATGAGAATGAGGGCATAAGACTGCTCATTTAACTGGAAGATATTAGTAGAAAATAGGTTATGTGAATTTGAAACTAAAGAGTTTGAGTCGCTGATATTGACAAAGCCTGGAATTGAGAGCATTAGGTCTTGGGAGTTGATATCAAGGATGTGAAAAAATGATGTTTTGTGAACTTTAACATTGAACTCACCCAGAGTAACTGTAGTGTTGGAGAGTGGATATGAAAGGTGCCTGTGAACTAGGAACAGCCCCCTAGAGACCATGTACAAATTTATGACCAGAGATGACATGACAAAAAGAGGTAGAAGGTGGTATATTGCACTTGCATGTGGTTCCAAAGTAATCATGTGTTGGCAGGAGTGCAATAGCAATGTTTCATAGGCTGAGATATATATTAGGTATTGGTGGGGGGAGAAGGGAAAGGAAAGGAAAGTTACCGATACTTAGGAGGAACCTGTACTGTGCCGTGTGATGTATATGAATGCTACTTCATTTGATCCTTGCTACAGTCCTCTGAAGTTGACTTTGATATCCCCACTTAGCAGAAGAGTAAACTGAGGTCCATAGAAAAGAATTGCCTTTCTTCATTTTTATAGTCCCTAAGTGGTGGAGCTGGAAATAAATCCTGGGATGGCGGAAGAAACATACTTTACCGTTGTTTGTATTAGAGGAATGCTTTATGAAAGAAAATGTATTACATAGAATACTAAGTCAGTACTAAGCCTAATATAGTGGGATTCAACAAATGTTTGTTGAACTACACTGCATTTGTATAGGTATTTAATCTTTTTAACCTTTTCCATATATTTCATTGTTTTATATACTTTTGGTTATTTTCTTCACTGAGGCCTGAAAACAGATCCATGGATAAGATGACAGATTCATCATTGTCGTATTCCTTTTTCTCTGATTTTGGGCTGCTCTTGTATTTGGAGGAGCTAAACAAAGAGGAGTTAAATAAATTCAAGTCATTTCTAAAGGAGACCATGGAACCTGGTCACTGCCTGATACCCTGGACTGAAGTGAAGAAGGCCAGGCGGGAGGATCTGGCTAACTTAATGAAGAAATATTATCCAGGACAGGAAGCCTGGAATGTGGCTCTTAAAATTTTTGGCAAGATGAACCTGAAGAGTCTGTGTGAGAGAGCAAAAGCAGAGATCAACTGTAAGTGATACTAAGGACAGATTTGGGGGTAGGGAGAAGGAAGTATTTCCTGTAGCCCATTGGATTCCATAAAAGGGATTTAGGGATTAAACCGTCCTATGGGATATAAGTGACATGGTGGCCTTGTACATGGGGAGCTTGTTGCATCATTTGAGAAACACTAAAGAGGCAGGAAGGTATGGAGTACTGTTACTGTTACTCAGCCTAGCTCCTTAATTGGGGACAATTCATCTGTCTTGTACCAACCAAAATGATCAAAGGAATTAGTGATAGGAGTTGTTACCTAAACTACAAGTCATAAATTAGGCTAAATTTTGAGTAATCTCAAATATGATTTAACATATTTACTGCAATATGAGGAGTGGGCTAAAAAGTATTAAAGGACATCTGCCATGCCAGTATTTTTAATCATTCTTAGGTATAAAATGTTATAGACATCTAAAGTTCCTCATATAGAAGGCTTTACAGCTACAGTGTATATATCCATGATCTCCTTTGTGCCATACCATAACCCTGTGAAGTCAGTATAGACAAGGAAACAGGGCCTTGCACTACACAGCTTGCTTTGGGGTTATAGAGTAGGGGATAGCAAAATGTCTCCTACATCAGTGTTTGTACCACACCACTTCTTCTCCCAGCTAAGCTGATGGCGTCTGAGGCTCTGGCGGCTTTTTTTTTTTTTTTCTTAAACCCTGTTGGTCGTAGAATTGGACCACTGAGATAAATGCTACCCCCTATATTGGCCATCAGCAGAACTCTTCTCGCCTTTTAAATCTCATGGTCCTGTTGAAACCTGTTACAGGGTCAGCCCAGAGTGTGGGACCAGAGGACACTAAGTCTGGAGAGACATGCGATCGGAAGGCAGTGCTGGGTAAGTAGGTAACCCTTTTCTCAGATTCGGGAGGCATTTGAACTTTCGGGAGGCAGCATGAGAGTTTCTCTCCCAGACTATTGTTAAACTCCTAATAACCTCTTCTAAAACCCCATCTGTTCCTGGAACGTCATACAAAAAGAAGCAGCAAAACTGGCTCTCTGGCCAATGTCAGAATCAGAGCCATGTTAATACAGGACCTCAAGAGAGCAGTATTGAGAATGCCTGCAGGAAAGTTGACAGTCTGATGCACAAATGACAAAGATATATTCATGTTTATGTTTTATAGACTAAAGAGTTTCTGAGCTGGCAGGAATCATTTAGTTTATCACATCTACTCTCTTCCTTTAGAGATGGTGCTGTAATTAAATTCCAGGAGTGGATAAAATTTCATTTCTAGAACCAGTTCTTCTCCGTCTTAGTTTAGTACCACTTCCATTTTCCCCACTGTATTTTGAATTCTACATAGTTGAATTCCAGTTTATATAAATGGAATTATGGTAGAAAAAAAACCAGGGCAGATAAGAAACCTTTATTCTTAACCCAGCTGTCCTGCTTCCTAACAGGCCCCATTATTTAACTCAACAAATAATTGAGAAATTACTTTATTCCAAGCCCTGAAAAATAAAAATTGCTTGTTGTATTAAATGACCTTGAATATAACTTTCCACTCTGACTGTAGTTTCTAATTCAATATAAGAAACTTTATCTTTGTAGTACAAGGAAAAACCAGTGGCCATTAATTTTCATTTTATTATTATTGCAAACCAAATGGATATTTCCCTCTTATGTGGAGATGTTTGCATGCAGATAGCTAATTAAAAGTCTCCAAATTATTGTCCAGCAATTTGTGATAAAAGTAATCTGTACCTATTATAGAAACTTTGGAGGATGCTGTAAGTACAAAATAGAAAATAAGTACAGCAAATTTATTGACCCTCCATTCTCTGTATGTTCAATACCACACTCTTTGAATTACTGTAATCTTTTTTTTTTTTTTTTGCGTTGGAGTCTCACTCTGTTGCCCAGACTGGAGTGCAGTAGCCACTCCCGGCCACTGCAGCCTCGACCTGCTGGGCTCTGGCGATCCTTCCGCCTCAGCCTTCCAAGTAGCTGGAACTACAGGCGTGCGCTACCACGCCCGGCTAAGTTTTGATTTATTGTAGAGATGAGGTCTTGCCAAGTTGCCCAGGTGGGTCTCGAACCCAGGGGCTCAGGCAATCCACTCACCTCGGCCTCCCAAAGCACGTGATTACAGGCTGAGCCACCGAGCCCAGCTGAATTACTGTAATCTAATGATAGGTTTTAGTATTTGGTAAATAGTACTTCCCTATTCCTGCCTGGCCATTCGTTACTTTTGTTTTTCAGAATTTTTGGGCAATATGTGTTTGGTTATGTCTTTGTTTTTAAACTTCATATAACCAAAACAAAATTTTTAAAATATCAAATATAAAAGTACATATAGTGAATTTCTCACTCTCTGCGCTCCCCATCCCCAATCCTATTTATAAATAACTAGTATTAATATTTCGGTACATATTCTATGTATTTCAAAGTACAAAAAATTTGTTCACTTTTTTTCAATATTGTACATATTTTCCTGAAACTTGTTTTTTTATTTTTATTTTTTAGAGGGGTTGTATTATAAGACTGTTTTGGGGGGCATTAGTACATATAGTTGTATCATATCTTAATTAAAAGTTGCATGGTCCTTAGTTATGTGATTGTATTATTGCATTTCTTTTATTCAACACATATATTTGGCACTTCATATATGCAAGGAGACGTTTGATACTGGCCATGCAATGATTAACTACAGATATAGCCTGTAGCCAAAGTGTGTCATTTCTTTTAGAAGTAAATAGTTAAAGTAATTATAGCTTGTGACATGTGCTGTGAATGAAAAACATACTGTGCTTTGAGAATATATGAAAGGGAGAACTATTCTAGCAAGGGCGTTCAGATAAGGCTTCCTTGAGATTGTGTCATTTAATAAAGATCTAAAGGAGGAATCAGATTTAATCAAGTAAAGAGGAACTGTATTTTCATCCTACTTGGACCCTTATGAATTTTTTTCTTTTCTTCAAATTATCCTTTAGGCTATTCTTCCATGTTCGTTTCTATTAACTTTTACTTGTATAACATGAATTATTTTGATCTATCAGGTAAAGATGAACTGTATTTTCATTCTACTTTGACACTTAGGAATTTTTTTCTTTTCTTCAAAATATTCCTTAGGCTATGCCTCCATGTTCATATTTATTAACTTTTTCTTGTGTAAAGTGGATTGTTTTGATCTATATGTTCAGGTCTGTCTTGGGGTCTCCTTTGACCTCAAGGAGGGATTAATTGGTGTCTTTGTGGGGTTTTGTTTGTATTTTTAAAAATCTGGATGATATCTCTGTTCTCCATGTCTATCATCTTTTTTCTCTGTAGAGGAAAATTACGAAGAAGAAAAAATATTTCTAAAGTGAATCTAATTTTTATTTTCTATCACAAACTCACTTTTATGTATTGTCAATTCTGGTATTAAACAGCTTCTAATGCATTTTTTTAAATCCTCAGGAATATTTTTGTCTGATTTACATTCTTTCATTTTAATCTAAATAAGCTTTGATTTCAGCCTATATTATTTCTTGTTTCTAACTTCAAATCCAGTATTCTTAACATTGTAATTCATATAATTTGTTTTGATCATGTGTCTTTGTTTATGTTTCATTTCATGTTCCATCCTAACTGACTTAGGTGATGGAATAGAATACAGAATTCGAATAAAGGAAAAATTTTGCAATGGAAGGGATAAGAACTCTTTGCTTGGGGAGCCTGAAGATTTCCATCATGAACTTTCTCAGGAAAATAGAAAACTGTTGGAACATTTGTTTGATGTGGATGTCAAAACTGGTGAGCAGCCACAGATAGTGGTGCTTCAGGGAGCTGCTGGAGTTGGGAAAACAACCTTGATGAGAAAGGCAATGTTAGATTGGGCAGAGGGTAATCTCTACCAGCAGAGATTTACCTATATTTTTTATCTGAATGGGAGAGAAATTAACCAACTGAGAGAGAGCACTTTTGTGCAGTTGATATCAAAGGACTGGCCCAGCACAGAAAGCCCCATTGAGGGGATCATGTCCCAGCCAAGTGGTCTTCTCTTTATTATTGATAGTTTTGATGAACTGAGCTTTGCCTTTGAGGAACCTGAGTTTGCACTGTGTGAAGACTGGACCCAGGAACACCCAGTGTCCTTCCTCATGAGTAGTTTGCTGAGGAAAGTGATGCTCCCTGAGTCATTCTTATTGGTGACAGCGAGGCACACAGCTTCTAAGAGACTAAAGCCTTTGTTGAAGAGTTATCGTTATGTAGAACTATTAGGAATGTCTGTGAATGCAAGAGAGGAGTATATTTACAGGTTTTTTGAAGACAAGAAGTGGGCCATGAAAGTATTCAGTTCACTAAGAAACAATGAGGTACTTTTTAGCATGTGCCAAGTCCGCCTTGTATGCTGGGTCTTTTGTACTTGTCTGAAGCAGCAAATGGAGAAGGGTGGTGATGTCACATTGACCTGTCAAACGACCACGGCTCTGTTTACCTGCTATATCTCCAGCTTGTTCGCACCAGAACGCTCTCCTAGACTACCCAACCAAAACCAACTAAGGAGCCTGTGCCACTTGGCTGCCAAAGGAATATGGACTATGACATATGTCTTTTACAGGGAAAATCTCAGAAGACATGGGTTAACTAAATATGATGTCTCAATTTTTCTGGACATGAATATTCTTCAAAAGGACACAGAGTATGAAAACTGCTATGTATTCACACATCTACATGTCCAGGAGTTTTTTGCAGCTGTTTATTATTTGTTGAAAGGTAGTTGGGAAGCCAGGGACGTTTCCTTCCAGCCTTTTGAAGACTTGAAGCTGTTAATAGAAAGCACAAGCTATAAAAACCCCCAGTTGACACAGATGAAGTGCTTTTTGTTTGGTCTTTTGAATGAAGATCGAGTAAAACAACTAGAGAAAACTTTTAACTGTAAAATGTCACTGGAGATAAAATCAAAGTTACTTCAGCAGATGGAAGTATTAGGAAACAGTGAATATTCTCCATCGCAGCTAGGATTTCTGGAGTTGTTTCACTGTCTGTATGAGACTCAAGATGAAGCATTTATAAGCCAGACAATGAGATATTTCTCCAAGATTGTCATTAATATTTGCGGGAAACTTCATTTGCTTGTATCTTCATTCTGCCTTAAACACTGCCAGTGTTTGCAGACCATCAAATTGTCTATAACTATGGTATTTGAGAAGAAGATGTTAAACACAAACCCTCCAGCTGAAACTTGGTAAGTGTCTTAGGGCAGTCCCCTGGAGTGCCGCATTGAAGAAAAAAGGGAGTGGATTTTGTCAGAGGGAGGATTTGCTTAGCTGAGATACCAGAACTGGGATAACCCTTCAGAGTTGTCTTGAGGCAGGGAGGCCAGGCATTTCAAGCCCTTGTTGACCAGTTGTGACTTGTGATGACGAATGGGGAAAAACTTGCGTGAGATGGCTTTTTTTGACCTGAAGACAAGTCCAGGAGAGGGACAGGGCTGAGGGCTCTCAGCTGTCAGACACTCCCAACACTCAGGGGAATGAGGGCTTCAGTCTTTAAGGAGGAATGTGGTATGGCATAAACTTGCATCCATTATATTAAGTATATTTAATTCCTAAAAATATTGCCCTTTAGAAGAATAAGGGACCAGAAAATTCTTGCTGAACTGGTGTACATTGGTCATTGTCTGCAGTATTCCTCTGTACTCTACTGACCTAGCTCACCTATCCTATTGCCTAAATATAAAATTGCCTTACTGAACCTTCACAGTAATCCTAAGAATAGAAGATTTAATGATCTTTGTTTTTCAAGATGAAGTGATGGCTTACACTGATTATAAATTTGTCAAAATAACTTAGTTTAGTGAGTAACAGAGCTGAGTTGGGACTAAGAGCTATGCTGTTGAAAAGTTTACACTTATAAATCACTAGGATGTCCTCAGTTTTATGCCTTATTATCCTTTATTTATAATGAGTCTATTGATAATATGCCTAATAATTAAGTCACATAATATTTTAAAGTTTACAAAGTGCATTTGTATCCCCACTAAAATTGAATATTAAATCCTCACAACTTTGTGAAGGGAGATGATATTTCCATTTTATGGATGAAGAAAATTTAGGAGCTCTCATAGAATCTGTGTGACTTGCTTAAAATAATATTGCTAGTAAGTGGTAGATGTGGGGTCATACCTGTGTTTCTTCATCTCTGCCACACTACACCTAATGTCTACCCACTACTATTATCTTATTCTCTGAGGTCATATTTTTCTTCTTGATGTAGATTCTTCAATTGAAAACTTCTCTCTTGTCCTTCCTGAGTCTCTCCCTTAGAATGAAGTCTTTCTAGTTTTATCTTGTATATTTCGAGGGAATGGATAGGAGGTAAAAGAGCTATTGGGCAAATAAAGCTTCTGGGTTGCCTGGAGGAAGATTTTCTGGTAGACTGTGCTCATAGCAGAGCTGCACTGGATGGTCTTGCTATTTCCAAAGTGCACTGACTTTTACCCAAGTACCATATTCCGAGAGTCACCTACTGAAATAGATTCACTGCTTTTTCAATTATTTAGGCACAGGGATGGTGATCACATTATTCATTACTGGCAAGATCTCTGTTCTGTGCTTCATACAAATGAACACTTGAGAGAACTGGACCTGTACCAAAGCAACCTTGATAAATCAGCGATGAAAATCTTTCATCAAGAACTAAGACATCCAAACTGTAAACTGCAAAAACTACTGTAAGTCTGGCATGAGAAAATTTAATGGCATTTTTCCAATTTCTTTCTTCTCCCACCTTTCACTCCTACTTATTTTTTTAATTTTAATTTTTATTATAAAGATGTGGGGTACATTTTGGATTTAGGTATACAAACATTGATCATGCAGATATCCTTGTTGATGAGGTATGCCCCTCCTTCCCCTAGCAGTTTCCCACAGCTGCCGATCCCACTCCCCCCACCCCCAACAGTTTCCCACTGCTGCTAATTGCTTTCTTATAGCATTATAATTGTTCAAGGTCCACTTATGAGTGAGAAAATATGGAACTCTGTTCTTTGTTTCTGTAATAAATCACTGAGTATGACTCCAAATTCATCTTAAAAAGTGGGCAAAAGACATGAATAGACACTTCTCAAAAGAAGATATATGGGCAGCCAACAGACACATGAAAAAGTGCACAGCCTAACTCATCATCAGAGAACAGCAAATTAAAACCACACTGAGATACCACCTAACCCTTGTAAGAATGGCCATCATTAATAAAACAAACAACAGTAGATGCTGGTGAGGATGTGGAAAAAAAGGAACAGGGCTTCCCTCCTACTTATAAGGGAAACCCAGCAAACACTTAAAATCTGTTGTGTAAAATACTCAAAAAACATGAACAAAGGAAACCTTCTGGGACATAGGAGCATGATTAACTTGGTCCCACTGAGATTCCAGAGTGTGGTGGATGTTGATATGGGCTTATCAGGCTTGACTAGAAATTTTCTAGACGAAGAACACAGAGCTAAGATGTTCTAAGCAAGTCAACAAAGCATTTTCAAAGACATGTTCTAGACCTTACTACTTTTTTCTTTTTAAATTTTTTTCTATTGAAGAATAATTTACATTCAACAAAATTCACAGGTTTAAATGTTTAAACATCTACATAACCAACACACAAAACAAATTAGAAAATATTTCCATCACCTCAGAAAGTTTTATTGTGCCATTTTCTGTTCAACCCTCTCACCCTATCCAATCCCAGAGGCAATCATCTTTTAATGTCAGCACAGCTCAGCTTTGTCTCTTCTTAGAAATTTAGATTGATTCATACAGTATGTATTTTTTGTGTCTATCTTCTTTTCCTCAACAAAATGTTTTCTAAAATGTATCCATGTTGTTGCACATTTCAGTAGTTACTTTTTTATTGTTGATTAGTATTCAATTATATGAATATGCTATAATTTTTAAATCCATTCTCTTATTAATAGACCACTGGAGGGTTTCCTATTTTTACCTATTATAAATAAGGCTGCCATGATTATTCTTTGCAAATCTTTTTATGACATATGTTTTCATCTCTTGGGCTAGTACCTGGGAATGGAATTGCTGATTCATAGATGTACAAGGTCTGACAATGAAGTTTGTGAACTCATCCTAGAAAATGTGCTACATACTTCATTGTTGAATATCACTATGGCCACCTTCTAAGTTTAGGAAGCTATGCACTGATGCTAGTGGAAATTTTCTGAAATGGCCATCAGAGCTGTCATTGTATTACCCTTGAAGTCCTTAATGTCATTAAATGCCTTCCTTTTAATATTTCCTTTATCTTTGGGTAAAGAAAAAAGTCACTGGGGGCCAGATCAGCTGAGTAGGGAGGGTGTTTCAATACTGTTATTTGGACAGTGATGCCAATGTAAGTGCACAGTGGCAATTTCGCGAACTTAATTATCAGACCTCTGACAGACCTCATGACAGCTGTGATGGCCATTCCAGAAAAGCAGTCCCAAAATTGCTTTGACGGGTGGACTTGGTGCTAGCATCAGTGCATAGCTTCCCAAGGGGAGTACTTCAAAAGTGACCATAGTGAGCCGGGCTCGGTGGCTCAGCCTGTAATCCCGCGCCTTTGGGAGGCTGAAGTGAGTGGATTGCCTGAGCCCGCGGGTTCGAGACCCGCCTGGGCAGCGAGACCTCAACTCTACAATAAATCACAAAATCAGTCGGGCATGGTAGCGCATGCCTGTAATTCCGGCTACTCAGAAGGCTGAGGCGGAAGGATCACCGGAGCCCAGCAGGTCGAGGCTGCGGTGGCCAGGAGCAGCCACTGCACTCCAGCCTGGGTGACAGAGTGAGACTCCAACTCAAAAAAAAAAAAAAAGTGACCATAGTGATATTTAGTAATGAGGTATGTATTACTTTTTCTAGGATGAGTTCGCGAATCTAATTGGCAGATCCCATATGTTTTACTTTTTAAGAAATTGCCAAACCCTTCACCCAGTGGTTGAACCATTTTATAGTCCCACCAGCAATATATGAAAGTTCCATCTGCTCCACATTCTTGTCAACATTTGCTGTTGTCAATCTTTTTCAAATTTTAACTTATCTTAATTTGATTCTGGATACTCTATCACTTCAAAAATTTTTTTTGTTCACATATCTCTTACCCTCTTGTCTGTTAACTCTAAAACTTATCATACTTTCTTCTTGTATTTTGAGCCCATTATTGTGCCCAAGGTCCATTTGTATGTAGTATGTATTGAATGCTGAACAAATAATAGATCTTTGTTCCTATTAGCACAGAAAATAGATGCTCTTTTTAGAGGAACAGGCTTCTCACCAAATATTTCCCTGAGAATCTGTATTTTTATGAGTTCTGATCTTAGATTTCAGGCAGCTAGATAAGGTCTGGTATTACATACAGAGGTGGTAAGGCAATTGGATATGTGTTATGATTAAGGGTCTCATGGAAGTCCTTTTCTTTCATCCCTAAATGTCTCCCTCATATTGTCCATTCACTGAATGCCACCAGTCCAAATCTTCATAATAGCCAGTGCATTCTTTGGGGTTAAATGGCTTCCTCTTTTAGAATATGAGGATCCCTTGGGGGATGACATCATAATGGCTGTAATAAATCTTTGCCACCTGAGTGTGGCTTTAATTACTCTAGTCGCTTTTCCCCAACAAGTGAGAATATGTTTTCAGTTTATATTTACTGATTGCCTCAGGCACTTTTACTAGATGAGAATGATTAGTGTTCTAATGGGTAAGAGCTTTATGTTCTTGTGTGTGTTTGGCTGGTGTGGGGGATAAGGTGGAAGATGGATAGTGGGCAGAAGGGAGTAGAGGTGGTATTACAAATGAAGGCTTGAACAGTTAGTGTGCAGTGTGCACATATTAGGCATTAAGGTATAGTAGGAGCATTATAGAAAAATCAGAAGTATCTAACATTGAGTTAGTAGAAAATAGACAGAAAACTTTGTTTTGAGCTGCTTCTGTATACTAACAAAACCCACAAGATGACAAGGCATATTTTGCAACAATGTGTTGATACACATAAAATGGTTGATAGTGAACACATTTTGAATTATTTAAAGGATTTAAATATTGTGGATAATGTTGTCATTGCAGTACTTAGAATAGTTCTACCAGTGTTGGGTAATCATTCCTAGGATTAAGAGTTAAAAGGCTCCTCCTCTGCCTTTCCTGATGTTATCACCTTCTTTTCCCTTAAGGTCAAAACAAGTTGGGAGTGTTGGTTGTCAGGATATAAATGAAAATGGAAGTTGTAACTCAATTGTTTTTTAAGCAAAATTCTGAAACTTGGATTTATAGTCTAGCCTGGAACATGAGAAACCTAGAGTAAGGGATGATAGTAAGATAAAAGAGTATTCATAGCCGGGCTCATTGGTTCCGCCTGTAATCCCGTGCTTTGGGAGGCTGAGGTGAGTGGATTGCCTGAGCCTACAGGTTCGAGACCCGCTTGGGCAACTTGGCAAGACCTCATCTCTACAATAAAAATCAAAAAATCAGCTGGGCATGGTAGCACATGCCTGTAATTCCGGCTACTCGGAAGGCTGAGGTGGAAGGCTCGCCTTCCAGCAGGTCGAGGCTACGGTGGCCAGGAGTGGCCACTGCACTCCAGTCTGGGTGACAGAGTGAGACTCCAACTCAAAAAAAAAAAAAAAGAGATAAAAGAGTATTCATATAATATCCAACAGTTAGATTTGAAAAAAGAGGGGATGCTATAACCAGGGACAGAGATAATTTTGTAATCCATCCTGCATCTTTTTCTTCTGAAGGTTGAGATGTGTCACTTTCCCTGATGGTTGTCAGGATATCTCTCAGTCTTTGATTCACAACCAGAATCTGATACATCTTGACCTGAAAGGAAGTGATATCGGGGATAATGGCGTGGAGTCATTATGTGAAACCTTGAAACGCCCAGAGTGTAAACTACAGAAACTGAGGTAAGTCTTGAGGTTTTGTTGTTGTTGTTTGGGGGGAGGGTTGTTTTGTTTTTTGAGTTGGAGTCTCACTCTTTCACCCAGGATGGAGTGCAGTGGCACACTCACGGCCACCCCAGCATCCACCTGCTGGGCTCTGGTGATCTGTCCGCCTCAGTTTTCCAAGTAGCCGGAACTACAGGCGTGTGCTACCATACCCAGCTATTTTTAATTCTGATCTTGAACCATGGGCTCCCAAAGTTCTGGGATTACAGGCTGAGCCACTGAGCCTGACCGAGTTTTTTATTATAATTGAGACTTTGTCCAAATAGACTCTTACAATCTAGACTTGCTGTTCAAAGGGCCAGCTTAAATCTACTTTTATGATATAGAGCAGAAGAGATCAATAAAATCACTGATTTCCTTCTGGTAGCACTGAGTGTTATCATCCCTCTGAAGATTTCTCATTGTATAGTTCTGTGTCTCCATCTCCTAAATCTGGTGGAGGGGGGAGTAGGAGAGCAGACCCAGAATTTATAAACATTTAACATTTTCATATTTAAGTGCTGGAATAGATTTATTATATCTTTGAACTTTTCGTAGAAAAGAATATACTAATAGAAACCGGTGGCAGTGCTGAGCAGGTGGAGAACAGTGTGGTAACTGTGAACTTATGGTGTTTTTGCTTGCTGTCACACATTGTTGATCTTAGTGGTGGCCCATAGGCTGATTTTATTTCTCTATGAATGCTGTGAGAGAATTAGCAATCATACTTGGTCTCCACATTATGTGAAAGGTTTTAAGAAAGATCTTATTTTTCAATGAAAGGAAGTCAAACCAGTTTTTAACAAAACAAAAATAAAACCAAAATCACTACAGTAAGCTTTACCTTAAAAATTTTTGTTATCCCTGAGGTCTCAGTTCAAGGTAGTCAGGACTAAAACTTGATGCATAAAGGACCAAGGTAGGTCTATATTCCTGGGAAGCAAATTATAATCCAGATGTAGGAAAAATAATTGAAATCTAAAATTAGACCTTCTTGAATTTTTAAAAGCTCTTACCAGTTTTTACAAGATGGAATTTACTTACAGCATGTCTGGAAAGTTGTTGGATAACTCTTGAACATATTAAACATATGAAATTTAGATTGTTTCATACAATATGTATTTTTGTGTGTGTCCATCTTCTTTTCCTCAGAAAAAAATGTTTTCTAAAATATATCCATGTTGCTGCATATTTCAGTAGTTTCTTTTTTATTACTGATTAGTATTCCATTGTATCAGTATGCTGTATAATAAAATGATGGGTTCAACAGCCCAGACTGGAGTAGATTTTAGCAGGTATATAGTAGTTTTACTGGGCACAGTGGCTCAAGCCTGTAATCCCAGCACTTTGGGAGGCTGGGGCGGGAGGATTGCCTGAACCCAGGGGTTCGAGACCAGCCTGGGCATCTTGGTGAGACCTCATCTCTACAATATATCAAAAAATTAGCTGGGCATGGCTACTTGGAAGACTGAGGCGAAAGGATCACCTGAGCCCATCAGGTCGATGCTGGGGTGGTTGTGAGCATGCCACTGCACTCCAGCCTGGGTGACAGAGTGAAACTCAAAAAAAAAAAAAAGATATTATGAGGAATTTTCTGTAACCTGTACCTCTGGTCTGGAACCCAGGCGAGAAGTATGTCATTGGTTTCTACATCTAAAAATAAAATGTATTAGTAGCAAAAATGTTAAATGGAGGAAAATATGTTTTCTTATATTGGGAGCTGTGGATCTAAGATTTTTAAAAATGCTTGGCACTTGATAGATCAGCAGGACTTGACATGATCCCTTTTAGTTAAGACTTGAATAATGTCTTCCACTAATAAACCTTTGTATTGACCAAGTTACCAGATTTTCAAGTAAGAAAACATCCACCTGGGTCAAGTAGTAGAGTTCTTTGCACTAGAGAATAAAATGAGTTGGCCAAAATTATCAGAGCTTTGTAAAAATCTAACTCTACATTAGACTGGATGTTCTCCCAGTGTGGGTGGTCACTGGGGAGTAATCGGTGTTTTTGTAAGCCTCCTATTAACATCTCATGTGGGGAAAGTTCCAGTTTTCTGTTTGCCTTCAATCTCACATTGTAAGAGCTGTAGACATTATGAATGCCCTTCTTAGCCTGGTTTGTGCAAAGATCATGCTCAGATGAACTTGTTAAAATTATGTTTAGGTGTTTTACTCCCCCTGATTTTAGATGATGTGAGCAGTGAAAATGTTGATTAGTGGGTGTTTGCTAGTCTGTCCTACAAAATGATCTCCAATTACTGTATGAACTTTGCAAATTTAGGAATAAAACTTTTTTAAAACTTTAAATTGCTAAAAGACTCACATCGGCCCCTATACGTGAGCATACTGGAATGGTATACACAATCACTAAATTTCCTTGAAATCTTTTACTATAATATTTACTAAAAAGGTCCTACCTCAAGAAGGGGAGAAAGATTTACTCTCTTGATAACTTTTTCCACATCATGGCCCTGATATTTGGTTAGTTCTTTAAAAATGCTGAGCAAGTAGGAGGAATAAACAAAAACAGAAACCTTGGGGATTATCAGTAATTCCTAACTGTGCCCAGAATCTCTTTGCAGTTTGCCCATGTTCTGCCATTGGCAAAGTAAGAGAGCAATTCTTAGTGCCACTGAACAGCCAACTGAAGAGTGCCAAAATAGTGCCAAGACAAAATACTCTCTGTGTCTTTAGAATTTTTTAATTAGAGGACTAGCATTCCAGAAGGGGAGCATCTAAAATAGTTGAATAAAAGGAATGTGACAGAGAATGACAAATATCCATATCCATAGTTGCATTATCTGCCAAAGTAAAATATTGCATAATAGGTAGATAGCATACAGACCAATTGAGGTTTTTGCTTTTCCAGGAATGAGGAACCCTTTTGATTCATTATAGGTGTTTGCAATTATGAAGTGAATAATTAGTCATCATAAATAAAAAATATAAAAAGTTATCATAAATATGAACAGACTTTGGGGAGGTGAGACTACACTCTTTGAAGCCAGAAGCTCTGCTATCTGGGCAGATTACCCAGCAAGCAGAGACTCAAGTTAAAACTAAACTACTGGCCCTTTCTTCTCCATTACAGAATTTTTAAAAAAATTAATTGACTTTCATGAACCTTGATATGTATATGTAAACACGACTTCACAATCATACCAAATGAGTTTTAAGTGAAATATCATTTAAAGGCTTAAACTCTAACCTTTTGTAACAGAAATAATATGGAGTATAAGACAGAATATTGATTTTTCCATCTTAATTTTAATAGTGTGAAGAACACATGGGTCACAAATTGTGTGATAAGAATATAATTTATTTTTGCTCTTTTTGAAATTTGATTTCTCTGAAAATCTTTACATCAACATAAATTGCTAACTAATTTTTAAAATATTACTCCAAGGTTTCAAAATCAATTAGTAAGTTTGTAGAAAATGCTTAAGTTTACATTAAGAATAATATAACCTCTTTTGATAACTAAGAATATAGCAAAACACTATGATATCTTAAACTTGACCCAGAATCTGTAGTGTAAAATATTTACAATATTGGCTGATTTCAAGATTTACAAGATTCCAATTTATAAAGATGCTGATCATTTGTTTAACTCATTTTAATTATATACATATATATATATACTTTTAAATATTAATATAAGTAATGTGTCCTGCAGGATAATTGTGAAAGTATAGGGAATTCATTAATTTAGACTTCTTGTTAAAGAAATAGAGAGCCTTATATTATCTAAAAAGTGATATTTGCATTTTTATTTCTCACTGTGGTAAAATGAGGGAGAAAGACATATAGCCATCTTTAAATCTCAAATTACAAAACAAATTATTATTTGTCTGATAATTCACGTTGATTTGTAATAGTCCCATGAAGCCTGTCCTATTAACCCAGAGGTTCTTTCTCTTGGAAACACTATTCTTCTGTCACCTGTGGTACATTCATTTGGATTCTTAGGGAATAGACAGTTTCTGAAACCATATAGCTTCAGCAACAACTCTTTCTTGTTATCTCTCAGTTTCTTGTTCATGCCAGAAAAAAATAATCTTACCCAGGAAAAAAAAAGTATGAAGTTCTTGGGCAACCTGGGAATTACATAGCAATCATTTTCAGAAGAGAAAAATGCATTCATATAGCTTCTTCAAGCTCCTGGGAGCTCACCTTTGGTAACAGCAGCTCCCCCTAATTGAGGAATGGCCCCTCTCTCAGGTAATTGCAGTGTTCTAATCCTGGTCTACTAGTAGCACAGGAGAGTTTACCTCACTAGGGCTCAACTCATAAAGCCCCAGTGTCTTTCATCAGATAAAATCCTACCCTGATCAACTCTCAAACTGAGAGCTTGTTCTAGGTAGATGGAACATGAGTTTGTTCCTCTGAGTCAGCTGCATCAAGAACCCCCTTATGGATGTATACCCACTGACAGCTGGTCAGAGCTACACATGACAAGCAATAAGGAAAACAAAAAATAAAAAATTATAATGCTTATTTTTAAGGAGTGTTGGGAATTTCCAGCTAAGGGCCTGTTTTTAGAAATAGTTGGGCAGGTTCCTTAGAAAGACCTACATGTCCTCCTCAGCCCCCTCTCCCCGCACTGGGAGCTTTTCTGTCCTCTCAATAAATCCTGCTTTTAAAAAAAATAAAAATTAAAAAATAATAAAATTTTTAAAACAACAACAAAAAAAGAAAGACCTACATGTAACCAATAAGCTAATCTGTATCCTCTGTTTTGCTGGTGCATATTTAGGGGTCAGTTTGGAGCCACAGTCTTCAGCTTTTAGCTTCCCTTTGGATTGAATCACTGAAGATTGATGGTATATATTAATATAATATGAGACAAAACCTCCAAACTCTAGATAAACAAGAGGTATTTTTTATTACTTTATATGTGTAAGAAGAGTGCCAATAACCTTTAGTTGATTTGACAAAATATTTTCAATAGTTATAAAATTTCATAATATCAATTTGAGCATTAAAAGAGTGACACATTACTAAATAAGGCAATTGATAAAAATTATAGGCTTAATAGTAGTTAGGGCTTATTTTTACAAGACATAGGAATAATTTTTAAAGTCTAGGTATCTTATAAGATTCCCTTATTATGATAAAACAAAAATAAAACAAAATCATTCTTATAAAATATTTTCTGACTTGTAATAATGTCTGCTTTTCTTTGTGTCTGCAAGGGAAAGAGTGAATATTTTATTTTTATAAGACTGAGATTTCATTCATCAAGAGTTAAGAGGTCACATAACTGAAATTCTATTAGTTAACAATAAGAAAAAAGAAGAAACCTCAAGAAACTCAAACTTATGGAAAGGATAAAAGCAAAATAGATTATGAACAAAAGGACTATAGAGCATAAATATTTATACTACATTAAAACCATTTTTGACAGTTACAGCACTATTTCTATTTTCCTTCATAAATGAGATACATTTTCTTTAATTTCTGTTTTGTGTACCCAGAAATTTGCAAGTAATATTGCCTGTGTTTAATTTAATTGGTGATTATTCATTATTATCCCCAACTTATGACTGGAATTCTGAAATTCAAAAGAATTGAGATATTAAAATACCCTTATATAAGTCAGTATATTTAGCTTACCTCTGCCATACAATTTCCAGTATGTTAATGTAATCTGGGATTAGAGAGAATAGGTATTTTCCTAATCTTTGGACTCTTTCAAACCTTTTCTGAATTTTTATTATGGCAACATACATCAATGCAACAATTATTCAAACTTAATTCTGTTAATTAATTTTCATCAATGTATGCTGTCAGGGTTTTTTTTTCCTTAAGTTCATCTTTCTCAGTGTATAAAGTCTTAATTTTGACACTATATTTTTGACTGGCGTAATTTTAAACCAGTGTTTTCATGAAATATATGTGAGTGATGTATTCTGTGGCTTTCTTTATATCCCATGCATCCTTCAATTGCTTTCACAGATGTATGACAATTTACCCGGGTTTTAGGTCTTTACTTTTTTCTCAGTTTTTTGACTTTGCTATATTATTTTCTAGCCCTTAGTATTTTAAAGAGGAGCATATGGATAGCCTGACTCTTCAACCCCTTAGCTCCCTTTCCACCTCTCCAGTTTGTAAGTACTTTTTGTTTTTGTTTTTGTTTTTTTGCATGAAAGTACCTTTTGATATGCTGGCAACTTTTTTTCTTTTCAGCCCCAAAATTACTTTTTAATTGGATTTTTAAAGTTGTTTTGGTTCTATTCCTCTGTTTTTGAAGATTATCTAATAGTCATTGGCTTAGCACTTTCCCTATATGACTCTTACTTATTTTTTGCCACATAATCTTTTTTCCTTCCTTTTTGGGAAGTTTCTCACATTTATAGTCATCGATTTGCTTATGCTCTTTATTGCTTCCAATGCACATTTCTATTTTCTCTGGTTTTGAATTTTATTGTACCCTTTTATCTTAAGCCTGTTCCCTTTCTGTCTCTATCTGATCTCTACTTGTGATGTGCTACTTTTGTTTTAGAGAGTCTGCATCTTTCTACACATTTTAAATGTAAAGCAAATATTTCTAAACATTTTTCTTCTGTTTTCTAGTTTCCTGTTTTTCACACATGTGCAAATTTTCTGTACTTCAGTGTAATGTTCTCCTTCTGTAAACTTTAGTATTTTATCCACAGGTCCCATAATTTTATGACCTTTTTCTGTCAAGCACAGTGTTAGGATTTTCCTTGTTTTCCTAACTTCTTGCTGATAATAATACTCTTTTGATTTCTTCTGCTTATGCTGCCATAACAAAATACAACAGACTGAGTGGCTTAAACTTATGACTCACAATTCTGGAGGCTAGAAGTTCAAGAGCAGGACTAGTTTGCTTTTGCCTTCTCTCTGTGTCCTCATATGGCCTTTTCTGTGTGTGGATGCCAACTCTTTATGTCTCTTCTTATAAGGAAACCAGTCGTATTGCATTAGGGCCCTACCCCTATAACCCTCATTACTTAATTACTTCCTTAAAGGCCCTGTCTCCAAAGAGAGTCACATTGGCAGTTAGAACTTCAAAATATGAATTTGGAGGGATACAATTCAGCTCATAGCATCCTTTCAGTTCAAGCTGAGGTCTTAGGCCTTAGGCTGTGTTCTAGGTAATCCATTGAGATCTTATTCTGGACTGAGAAGGGAGCTTCTCCTGTTTCAACCTCTGTATACCCTGATTTTGATGAAATAACAAAAAAAACAAAAAACTGAGGGACTCAAGTTGATTAGTCCATGATTAAAAGGAGAACTTAGAGCAACTCCAAGTGCTAGGAATGCTACTGCTACTTAATTTTTTTTTACAAATAGCCACTTTCACTCCTAGCCAGGTAGAAGGCACAAGTTGTCTAAATATGAGTCTCTCAAGTATTTAGATGGACTCTACATGCACTTTTTTTGGCTTCCATTCTTCTTGTACTTTATTTTTAAAAACTATTTTATTTTATTTATGATTTTCTCTTTGTTTTTACTCTTTTTTTTTTTTTTTTTTTTTGAGTTGGAGTCTTACTCTGTCGCCCAGACTGGAGTGCAGTGGCCGCTCCCGGCCACCGCAGCCTTGACCTGCTGGGCTCCAGCGATCCTTCTGCCTCAGCCTTCCAAGTAGCTGGAACTACAGGCACACGCTACCATGCCCGGCTGATTTTGATTTATTGTAGAGATGAGGTCTCGCCAAGTTGGCTCAGGCAATCCTATTCACCTCAGCCTCCCAAGGCGCAGGATTACAGGCTGAGCCACCGAGCCCGGCTGTTTTTACTCTTAAGGACTAAACATGTGCTCCTCAGTAAACATAAGTTGACTCCCATGAATAAGTGAGTTCATAGGAAACAGCTTTTTCCCCGACTTCCTGTCCATCTCTGTTCTGTTTCAGAAGTCAGAGTGTACAAGTATACAAGTCAACCTTCAGTCAATATTCTTCTAAGTTGTAGCTAGAGGAAATTCCCCCCAGATTAAAAAGTATTATTATTTAACGATTTTTAAAAATATTTATATATATATACTTTTGTAGGGAATTTGTGATGTGAGTGTGGGAGACACAAGCTTCCTCTCTTCCTTTCCTTAACCCTCTGTCAGAGTCTTATGGTTTAGTTAAATAACTCTTATTCTACATAGGAAAGCTGGATTTTACAGGCAAGGCCCTCAAAACTGGGAAACCTCCTACCCTCTAGCTAAGCGGGTATTGGTTGTAATTCTTCTCTGAGGAGTATTCATTTCCATTTTTCTGTATTGTTTTTCAGGTTAGAATCCTGCAACCTGACTGTAGTTTGTTGTCTGAATATATCTAAGGCTCTCATCAGAAGCCAGAACCTAATATCTCTGAATCTGTCAACCAATAATCTACTGGATGATGGAGTGGAGCTGTTGTGTGAGGCCTTAGGACATCCAAAGTGTTACCTAGAAAGACTGTCGTGAGTATTTCTGCTTTCTTTTCTTTTTTTCTTTCGTTCTTTCTTTCTTTTTTTTTTTTTTCCTTTGAGTTGGAGTCTCTGTCACCCAGACTGGAGTGCAGTGGCCACTCCCAGCCACTGCAGCCTCAACCTGCTGGGCTCCGGCGATCCTTTCGCCTCCACCTTCCAAGTAGCTGGAACTACAGGTGCGCGCTACCACTCCCGGCTAATTTTTTATTTATTGTAGAGGTGAGGTCTCGCCAAGTTGCCCAGGCAGGTCTTGAACCCGCAGGCTCAGGCAATCCACTCACCTCGGCCTCCCAAAGCGTGGGATTACAGGCTGAGCCTGCAATCCCGGCTGTTTTGTTTTCTGTAGAGTCATTTTGCTCAGTTCTGTGTAGCTTGTGATTAGATGGGGAAACTTCTTGGGTCTTAACACTAACAGCACATTTGTCAGTCCTAGAAGGGTTCTACACGTGACACCCATTTTTGTCCTCTACTTCCCTTCCTCTTTTGCTTCACTTTTAGAAACTTCTCTTCCTTTTGATTGACCTCTTATTTTCATTCTTTTCTTGGCTACTCCTCTCCCCTTCCATGTTTTATTTCATACCCTGTACACAGCTGCAATGGAATTCATAATTTAAGTAGGTTTGTTGAGGTTGATTCTATAGTTGAGGTGTAGGGGTTGTAAGGAACAGCTAGTTTCCCTGTGAAGGAGAAGAGAAGCATGAACTTTGGGAATTGACAGATCCCTTCCCCTCTGTGTTTCTCCTTCAGTTTAGAAAGCTGTGGTCTCACGGATGCTGGTTGTGAGGATCTGTCTTTGGCTCTAATCAGCAATAAAAAGCTGACACATCTATGTTTGGCTGACAACGTCTTGGGAGATGGCGGAGTAAAGCTTTTGAGCAATGTCTTGCAGCATCCACAGTGTACTCTACAGAGTCTTGTGTAAGTGTCTGCTAGTTTTAATCCTTCCAAATATATTTCTTTGAAACATATTGAAAATAAGAAAATATTATGAACACATTCTGTCCATTGCCTTTTTCTACTGTTACCCTAAATGATAATGATGAAGATGATAATGATATTAATAATTGATATTTAGTGTGTTCTCTGTTCTGCATCTTATGCTAAATTTGTTTAATCTGCACAATAGTACCTGATGGTGTCAAATGGGTCACCTGATTTTCAGGTGGCTCACTGTACAAGTGAGGAAAGCAAGGCTTAGAAAGATAGTGCAACTTGCTTAATGGCACAAAAGGAAATGATAAATTCAGAACTAAATTCTACCAACTATTCAATTCCATAGTCTGGACTCAATGTAAATATAGCATTCAATCAATCAATAGATAGATAGATAGACAGACAGATAGACAGACAGACAGATAGATAGCTGGGTCATAGTTCTGTTCATTTTTGTTAGATAATTTCCTAGACATGGAACTAATGAGTCAAAGTTTTTATTTTGTTATGTATAGTTAAATTACCTTTCAGACAGGCTCTTTATATTCTTGGTAGTAGTCTAGGGGCCTACATTTTAATACCCTCATTTGGTATCCAAATTTTTTTGATCAGTATTAGTTTGGGAGTTGAAAAATAACTTTTAAAGTAATTTGATGGTTAGTATCTTTTCAAACGTTTTTGGCCTTTTATATTTAGGCATTCCTTCTTCATGAACTTAGATTTCTTATGATTTTTGTATATCTGTTAAATATTATGGCTATTAATATCATATATACATTATTTTACATATGTTGTAAATAAATTTTTTCAGAATGTTGCTTTATTTCTAACTTTATGGTCCTTTTTAGAATCTAGAAGTTTAAAATTTTTGTGAAGTCAAATTCTGCCTTATGACTTCTAGAGGTTTTGTCACAATTGGAAATACCTTTCTTTTTAAAAAAAAAATACACTTATGCCATCTTCTCATACTATTTGTGGTTTAAGTTTAATATTTACATGTTAAATTATGCCAAATTAATTTTGTTATAAGGCTTAAACTTATTTTCTCCCACATATCAGATCTGTTGTACAAAAATCATAAATGGCATACTATATTTGTTCCTTACTGATTGAAAATGCCATTTTTATTATGTACAAAGAGTACTTACTTTATTATGATCATTTGGACTCTACTCTATTTGCCTGCCCCTCTATTCCATGTAGTTACTTCTGTAACAGGATGCTATATTTATGTGCAATGTAAAGCAGTTAACATTTGATTTATAGTAAGATAAATTTATAGCAAGAGCATGAATTCAGCTTATGGCTCAATTTGATGTAAATCTGTTTCCCAAGCGAGACAGGCTGGCAGTGAGGGAGGTTCATCTGAGATGGAGTGTTGATAAGTAAATAAGGGATCTTAGCGTGAAACCTTTCAAATATATAAATCTCTCAGCAATAGAACAATAATTCCATCTTTCCTTACATTGTTCTTCCTGTAGGCTGAGGTGTTGCCATTTCACTTCACTTAGTGGTGAGTATCTCTCAATTTCTCTTCTACACAACAAGAGCCTGACACATCTAGATCTAGGATCAAACTGGCTACAAGATGGTGGAGCCAAGCTTCTGTGTGATGTTCTTCGGCATCCAAGCTGTAATCTTCAGGACTTGGAGTAGGTTTTCTGTAATTTTACTTTTGGGTGGTTTCAACTACACTGTCTGTGTAGGCTGGGAAGATAAGGAAAGAAAGACTGAGAACAGAGTGTCTATCAGAGAAAATAATATACAATTGATTTTTTCTCTCTCATTCTGCCCGAGACAAGCTGGAGAAGTCTATTTACCAGATTAAAAACAACAACAAAAAAAAAACCCAAAAAACAATTACTATAGTAATTATAATAAACTTCCCTTATGTAAGGTGAAACAGGCATCGGGCTGAAAAGTAGTCATTTTATTTTTTCCGTGATTATGTCCTAGTGAAGCTACTTGTGTCTTCTACTTTATATCCACGAGGCTGAAGTTGTGCTCTTCCAGTTTTTCTTTTAGGTTTATATTTAAACTCAGATTTATAATTAGATCAACATTCAAAGAAGTTGGGAAGGGGATTTTAAAGAATATCATATAATCTACTTTAAACACCGTTTTACTAATATTATGTCCTATCTTAGTTTGTGAGCAGATATACATATATGTACATGGTGTGTGTGTGTGTATATATATGTAATTTGATCGTTGTGTAGACATGACTTTGAGATTTCCCCTTCACTTAACAGTATTTCAGAAACACATTTAAATACTTATTTAAAATCATATTTTTGATTTTTTTATGACTGTGATATTTAAGAGTTTATTATGTAAATATTGTGGCTAGAGTGAAGCAAGATAGAGGTGTCACTTATTCATCTTGACTCGCTTTCCCACTAGAGCTTCCCATAGAATAGTAACTTGGATGAGTCATAATGATCTAACCCTAGCATAGTTTTCTAATTATAAACTCTAGCTCCTTGGTATATCCAGAAGTGTTTGTCTTGACTAGACTGACTCATGACAACCAAACTTCCAAATGAACTTTATAATTTATTGTGACATCTGTTAACACTAAGGTGATTGAACTATAGGGTCCAATAAGCACCTTTACTTACTTTAGGAAAATGTAGATGATATGGGTTGCTATGTGATTCTCTGAAATTTTCTTGATCATCATTCAACTGGAAGACAAAGTTTTACCTAGTGGATATTATCATTAAATCCAATTTCTTCATTTCAACTACAAAGATATAAATTCCTAAATGACTGAAATGCTCAAGTCTTTCCTCAGCTCATCTTCTCTCTTTAGCCTTGCTGCAAAAATATAGAAAAATTGGTACTTTCTCAGTTATCTTCATAGCCTCCATGTAGGCCATGCCTATTCTCTTAACCAGGATTTACAACAAATATGAGCTAGATGCTAAGGACACTAGAGGTCACTACAGTGATGCTGTCACCCTCAAGTAACACAAAGTGCTGATGACAGAAAAATAAATATAAAACCAATTATATTTATTCCATACATTATTATAAAAATATGGCAGAAATCCCAAGAAGCAAGAGGTGGAACTTCATAGTGGAGAAAGATTTATTTTAGGATTGAAAAATGAGTATGATTTTGTTATGTGGGGATATCCTAGGCAGAAGGAACTGAGAGAGAATAGAAAGGGAATAACAAATGATGTGATATGCTTTGGAGGAAATGCATGTGTATGGTTGGAGAATAGGGTGGGGACAAAGTATGGAAAGAGAAAGCTTGAGGCAAGATTGTGGATGCTCTTAAATGCCAAGCATAGGACGTGGAAGAAATATTTTTATATGGTGCTTTCTTCTTTCTTCTTTGGAGATAACACTTTGAGTGGTTGAGTGAATTCCTAGAAAACTTTTATTTCAAAAATGTATTAAAAACTGAAAGCATAGAGGTATATGGGTTTCTTGGGAAAGCTTATATTCATTTTTTAAGTATTGATAAGAAAATGTGAATAATCTTGATTTTAAAAGCTTTGTAGGGCAACCCCTTCAGACCCCTCCCACCCCCCAATGTGGGAGCTTTTCTATCCTCTCAATATATCCTGCTTCCTAAAAAAAAAAAAAAAAAAAGCTTTATAGATAACAACCTGTAACATGTTTGTGGGAGAAAACAGTTTTACCCTCTGATTTCTTCTCATTAAGAAATCCTATTTGTTTCTTTCCATGTGCATCCTACATTGTAGGTAGAAACAAGTCATAAAAGAGGTTCAGATACCTATGTCATGAAATGGGCAAATGTGTTGAAAGAACCTAAAAAAAAAAAAAATCACTGAAGTCAAATGGTCAAATGCAGCCTCAGAACAATGCTAGCTAGTACACTGATGTTGATGGGTTCCTAAAACATTTACCTAGTGGGGGAAGCCTATACTACAAGGGACTCACCCACTAAGAGAGAGGGAGAAAGAGATATGTCTCTCTCAGTCTCTCCTAAGAAGAAACTTATTAAGCCTCACTATTAAAGGAGTCACTTCTGTATTTCTTGTAGATTGATGGGCTGTGTTCTCACTAGTGCATGCTGTCTGGATCTGGCTTCTGTTATTTTGAGCAATCCAAACCTTTGGAGCCTGGACCTCAGCAACAATGATTTGCAGAATGAGGGAGTGAAAATTCTGTGTGATGCTTTGAGACATCCAAGCTGTAACATTCAGAGACTTGGGTGAGTTCCTAGTTCTATTAGGAAAATGACACCTGTTTGGTGGCTGCTATAGCTAGGATTAAATTGAGTATATGGGAAGAGGATGAAAAACAAATGGGGCCAAAAGGTAAATTACTCTCAGAAATAACAATCTGAATTTCAAATATGTAGATCAATGTATTGTATGTTCCTTAGTACAGAAGCCATATTTCACATTTAGTAGTTTCCTCCTTAGCACCTTGGACAGATATGTATTAAGTGAAGGATATCTGATTTGAGCCCCCCATGTACTGTCATCCTTCAGATATTCCATTTGTTCCTAAATTAATTTTTAATTAAATTGAAGATTTTACTAATCATCTTCTGTCTGTAAAATACTATCTGTTCTTAAGGAACATGCAATCTAATAAAGTCTCATTCTATGTCTAAGTACTTCTTCTTAAGAAATTTGCCAAATGTATTAGTTGGAAACTGCGGGGTGGGGATGGGATTGGCAGCTGAGGGAAACTGCCAGGGGAGGGAGGGGTACACCTCATCAACAAGGTACCTACATAATGAACATTTGTATATCTAACCCTGAATTGTACCCCATATCTTTAAAATTAAAAAAAGAAGAAAAAAAAGGAAATAGAACCAACATTTAATACACATTAATTTAGAGGTATTTGTTGAGCGACTACTGTAGAAAGTTAAATACCACATGTTCTCACTGATATGTGGAAGCTAAAAAACAAATTGGTCTCATAGAAGAAAAAACTGGAACAGAAGGTACTAGTCTAAGAAAGGCAAGAGTAAGAGAGGAAAATAGAGAAATTTGTTAAAGGAAGCAAAACTACAACTAGATAGGAGGAATATGTTCTAGTGTTCTATAGTACTACAACATAGCTATAATTAACAATAATATGTTATATAGTTTCAAATAAGTAGAAGGAAGATATTGGATGCGTCTAATACAAAGAAATGGTAAGTGTTTGACATAACGGATATGCTAATTACCCTGATCTAATCATTATGCATTATATGTATGGTAACATCACTATGTACCCCATAAATATGTACAATTATTATGATAATTATATGTTAATTACAAAAAAAGTTGATATTAAAAAAAAGAAATTTGCCAAACATGATTAATCATATTGCTTTTATATAGTCTGTCAACTTTGCCTTTTTGGGCTTAAATCAACTTGGTCATAATATCTATTATTCACACTGCATAATTTATTTTGTTAGTATATTTATATTTAGGCATATTTGTTCATAATGGAGATTAGGTTATAATTTCTTTCTTGTGCAATTGCCTTCACATTTTTGTATCCAAATTGCAGTAATTTCATGAAATGAGTTCAGGAGTATCCTTTTTCAGTTCCCTGAGAGGATTTTTGTAAGACTGAAATTATTCCTTGAATTTTGTAAAAATTTCTTATAAAACTGTCTAATCTGGAGTTTCCTTAGTGTGTAATTTTTGTTTTTACTTCTGATTCAGTTTTTATTTAGTACTTCCTGGTAAGTAGTATTATTGATTTGATTTCATCTAAATTTTAAAATTGATTGTCGTGTCTAATAATATTTTATTTGCTTAACTTCTGAATCATTTACAGTAATATCTTCTTTATTGTTTCTGATATTAGGAATTTGAGCCTTCCTTCATATTATTTTTCTTTTCAAAGAATGCAACATTAATCCTGTTGTATGTAGACCTTCTGTTTCATTAATTTGTTTTCATCTTATGTCTTTTTCTTGCACTTTTGTTGAGTTTATTTTACCATTTCCTAAGTTCTCGAGTTAGCAGCTCAGGTCATACAAATTATCTTTCTTCTTCTCCAACAGAGATATTTAAAGTATTTATTTCTCTTCAAATCATTGCATTAACTTCATTGTACAATTTTTGCTGCAGTTCTTTTGTTATTTTTTAGTCTAAAATATTTTTAAGTTTCTCTTGTGATTTTTTTCTTCAGCCCATGAGTTATTTTAAAACATATGCCTTCTTTTCAAATATCAGAAGGGTTTCTTGTTATATTTTTATATTTAATTTCTACATTGTGATCTGAGAATATGTCATACGTGATTGCAGTTTTTTGAAGTTTGTTGACATTTGTGTCGTAGTCCAGTATAAGTCAGTTTTTAAATGTGCTCCATGGTGCGCTTGACAAGAATTTGAAGAATTGTTGCAGTATTCTAGATCAGTTAATTAAGATTGTTAGTTTTGTCCACATTATCTATATTTTTAGTGATATTTGTGCCAGATAATTCAGTTACGATGAAAAATCTCCATTACATTTCTAAAGTTGTTTTAATCTGTTAGTTTTTTGTTTCCTACATTTTGAGACCTTTATTAGTGACTGCAAACATAAAATGAGTATGTTTTCTAGGAACTCTTGATGATCTTTTATTTCTTATAAAGCTTTTTGACCCAAGGTGTATTTTATGTCATACTTATGTACCTTATGTCATAGTTAGTGAGTCATCTTTTCATATTAATGTGAATTTCAGTGTGGGCATAAACTTAACAAAAAGTTTTGTATGAGCAACACCTATATAGGCACTCAGTTACTCAATAGCTAGGTAGACATGAGGTGACAATTAGATTCAAATTGGTTCAAATCAAGTGTAAAAGGAAGTTTAACATACTTCCTCAGTTTGTGTACTATACTGTCATTGACCTGTGCAGAAGCCCTTGATTGACTGGTGGGTTGGTTGGCTAAATTATCTCTAGTAGCCATTCTCCTTCCAAGCTATAGGCACTGGCCTAATTTGCCTGAAATATGCCACAGAATTGTGAGTATTCTTGTAAGAGATGTAGTGTTTTTTGGTTCATGCATTTAAAAAAATTATTTATTTATTTTACGGATGTAGGGTACAATTCAGGATTAGGGATATAAATGGTCATTGTATAGGTAAAGTTTGGGTATGACTTTGGTTCCCAGTTCACCTGGTTTGATTAAGTGTGTGCCCCTCCCTTCCCTGGCAGTGTCCTGCTACTGCCAATCCCTTTCTTATAGTATTATGATATTTGTTCAGGGTCCCCTTATGAGTGAGAATGTGTGGAACTCAGTTCTTTGTTTCTGTGTTAGTTCACTGAGAATTCTCTAAATTCATCCAAGTTACTATGAAGTTCATAATATGGTCCTTGTTATGGCTACGTAATATTCCATCATGTATGTATACCACTTCTTTTATCCATTCTATTTTCAATAGGCAGCATTGTTGGTTCTATGTTTTTGCTATTGCAAATAGTGCTGCAGTAAACTGGTGCATGCATTTTTATTTGCATATATGGCATAGTGCTAGATAATTCTAATCTTACAAGTTATTTCTTGCTTCTTAAACACTCAATGCCAAGTTTCTAATATCTACTTCTGTTGCTACATTTTTAGTGATGTTCAAAGATATAACTGCTTCATAGTAATTGTAGTATACTTGCATATACTTTTATTTATTCCATAGACTATAGTTATGGATTTGTAATTCATATGTAATTCATATCCTTGGAAAGGATATGTTCAGCTTATATGTATCCAGTGAGAATGAAAATTATAAATACTTGATGAATTTATGCTGTGCTCATTTTGGGGGGTTTCTGAAATTATCTTATACTTCAAATTCACAGATTTCTTGTGGACTTGTTCTCTATCATGGGACTAATTCATTTTTATCTTTTGACATTATTCCCTACAGGTTGGAATACTGTGGTTTGACTTCTCTCTGTTGTCAAGATCTGTCCTCAGTTCTTAGAAGCAACCAACAACTGATAAAAATGAGCCTAACACAGAATACCTTTGGATGTGAAGGAATTATGGAGTTATGTAAAGTCTTGAGGTCTCCAAAGTGTAAACTACAAGTTCTAGGGTAAATCTTCATTGACTTTTCAGAGAGAAAGTTTTCTGTAATGAGGGATTTGATGGGTCACTTATTTATTGCAAGCCTCAGACTCATCCTGGTTGTGCATACTTGGGTATTTTCCAGGCACTTCTTTTTCCCTCCTAGAATACTGAATTTTTAGAGATAAAATACAGCATAGTAATTAAGAGTTGAGCACTCTGGAACCAGACTAGCTGAGTCTGAATTCTGGCCCTACTATTTACTAACTTTTTAAGTTTAGGCTACTCCCCTAATTTGTCTTTGTTTTGGTGTCCATATCTGCAAAATGGGTAAAATAGTAAAACCTACCCATAGGTGAAGATCTGAGTCAATATGGGCCACATACTTAAAACAGTACCTAGCCATAATAACAAACATTGAATATGTTAGCCATTTAATCATTATCATTAGTAGAAGTATTTTGCTTAGATAGCAAAAGGCTCTTCGAGGATCCTTTTTAATTTTAATCTCTCTCTCTTTTATATTCCATTTTTTCTTCAATTGCTGTATCTCCTTTACTGTCACTGTCAGTTCCATCCCCCCACCCATGTCACAATATTCTCTTTCTACTTTAACATAATGGCTTGTGTTTTCTTCAGGAAATAAATCCATTACATAGAAAGTGGAGGGCTATAGAAAATTGAGAGCAAGAACACAGATGTTCTTTTGTTTTCTCAGGTTGTGCAAAGAGGCATTTGATGAGAAATCCCAGAAGCTGCTGGAAGCTGTTGGAGTTAGCAATCCACACTTAATCATTAAGCCAGATTGTAATGATCAGAATGAAGATATGTCCTGGTGGCGATGTTTCTGATTTGAGGAACTTGATATTCCATAAGTAAATGAATGGATTAATAATTAAAAGTTAAAAATTAAATTTAAAAAAACCTCAGAGTGATGAATACTTGGGGTCATAGCTTTAAAAACTCTATGCCCAGAGATATTGCACCTGCATTTGTTAGATACAGGTTAGTTCCCTCTGTAAAATGTCTGTTCTTCTTCACATAGAGGTTGAGAGGCTAAAATAGAATGAAAAAAAAAAAACCATAAAACTCTCTGAAGAGTGTAGCAAGATGTTTTCAATTGGATGCAGAGCTTAAGAACTCAGGTAAGAGAAGCTTGGATATAAGACTGGAGGGATGGGGCCATGGAGGATAAGTTAAAGTGCCTTGTTTTTTTCCCCATTTCTACTGCCATGGCTTAGTTCACACCCTCACCATCTCTGGCAGCCTTTATTGGAATGTGTTTTCATGTATGTCCTTGGGACCATGAGTGTCAAGAGCACTTGGGTGTCTATTTTAAAATGCCAAATTTCTAAGCCCCACACCAGATTTACTGAATCAGAGTATCTAGGTAAGGGTCCTTAAACATTTTTGATAATTTTCTAGGTAAATTCTTAAGTACATTAATAGCTGAGAAATGCTAGTTTAAATAGAAATGAGAATCCATTCTATGGGAACACTTTCTGTAGCCTATTGTCAAAGAAGAAAAGCCTTAATTTCTTTTAAGGGGATATAAGGTTATTTGGGTTAGAGCTAGAAACAGGTTCTTCCATTTGGCAAAACATGACATAATACAATTTTATGTGAGAGACTGTTATGGTTATTTATTGCTGTGTAGTAAACCACCCCAAAACTTAGTTGGCTTAAAACAATAACCATATTATTAAATCTCATGACTTGGTGGATTAGAATTCAGAAAGAGCTCAGCTGAGCATTTCCTATACTCCACATGGTATCACTTGGGGTCCTTTGATGGTATTCAGTTGGCAGCCAGGAGGCCCCAAGATAACTTTTGCTCACATATTTGGTGCCTTGGCAAGGACTGGATTAAGCCAAGCTCTTCCCCTGTCTAGTCTTGGGGCCTCTCCACATGGTCCCTCCAGAGTTGGAATTCAGAGATTGGAAAGGCTAAGTGGAAGTTCCCTTAACAGCTAGCCCAGAACTGGTATAGAGTCACTTTCTTCATTCTTCATTGGCAAAGACACTCGAGGTCAGTCCAGATTCAAGGGTAATGAGTTTTCAATAGGAGTAGTGTCCAAGAATCTGTGGTCTTCTTTAGTCTACTACAAACTTAACTATTTTCTTCCTGTCTACGGGAGATAAGAAAGCCTCTTACTGGTTGTATGGGAAAAACAAACACCACTTCTTCTCTTACACAGTCAATATCCACATACTTCTGGTCACCACACTGTGTGGGTTTTTATCACACCGAGCAATTTCCCAGCACCAATATCATTCAATTCTGATACTACCTAGAGATAACATCAGGTCCCATAGGTAAAGAGCTGAGTCCTACAAGACTGTCCCTCACATCATGTACCAACAGCAAGTCCTGGGTTGTGAATTGTACTTCCGACCAACTAGTTGGGATTCCCACCCCAGGAAAACACATATACCCACTTATTACAAAACATATTACCACGGTTACAAATGAACAGCCATATGAAAGAGATGTCTATGATGAGACTCGTAAGAGCTCTGTCCCTGTGGATCTCAGGTGTACCATGCTCTCAGCAGCCAAGAAGTTTTCTGAACTCTATCTTTCTGAGTTTTCTTGGAGGTTTCATTAGGTAGGTATGATTGGTTAAATCATTGACCATTAAAGATCAATTCAGCCTTCAGCCCCCTTGCCTCCCTGGAGGTGGATGAGAGGGGATGCTTGAAAGCTCCAAATTTTTAATCACAGTATTGGTTCCCCTGGCAACCAGCCCCCATTCTGAGGCTATCCTGGAGCCTCCAGCCTTCAGTAATCTCATTAATACTTATCACTTTAGAGATTCTAAAGGCTTTAGAAGCTGTGTGCCATAAAATTAGACACAATGTCACACGACAATAATAAACCTTAGGTCAACGTGGCAGGGCTAGAAGAGTAGACCATAGATGGCAGTCATAGGGGGAAAATGGCAATCTTTTGAAAATTTACAGGTAGTGTTACTAGTGCTGATAGCTACACAGAACAGTGATACTGCTGACATTTAGCATAGGTGATACAAAGAGACGGGTCATTACCGGGGTTGATTCCTAGAGAGGACAGTTAAAGAAAGTTAACCTGGGCTGTCTACAAATACAAGAAAGAAAGCAGAGCAGTGGCACCCCTTTCACATGGCAGCCTTGGATCGCAGTGTCCATCTCATAATGCACAGACATCAGGACTTCCAAGCTTCCCAAGGAAAGCTCCAACAAAGGTAACACTTCCTGTCAAGGTGATTTCTACCAGACTGTCAGATAAAGGAAAATTCTTATGTTTCTGAAACCATTTCAGAGCATTATAGAGGAAGGCAACTTTTTCAATTCATTTTATACAGGTGTAAAAACTTTACTAATAGAAACTAACAAAGATGACATTACCTAGAAATGTACAGATGAATATAATGTATGATTAAATATTCAAAGACCCAATATAAATATTTTTGAAAATTATTTCCAACACTTAATTATCATAAACATGAACAATGTGATTTATAACAGAAGTGTGAGAGGTCTAATATGAGAGGAATACTCTTAATTTATCACATCAGTTGGATGATTCATAAAGACTAAATAATCACCCCAACTATGTCAAAAAGGTATATAATAAAATTCAGTCTTCTTTTTGTCAGGTAGTTCCATAATATGATGAGGAAAGTTTCTCTTGAACTAACAGCAATATGTTGGAAACATTAGCATTTAAATTTTGAAAACATGCCTGGTATCACTGCTGTTCATTAGCCAGAATTAGAATGAGACAAGTGCAGGGTCAAATACTGTCTTTATGTAAAATTTTGACATTTTGGTTATCATAGATATTTTTGCATTAACTTTTATTTTAAACATATTTCATTAGATGATTACTTATCTTGGTTACTGAATTTTGGCATATCTTTAAAGTTTTTGTATCTGGCATGTCACTCTCTTCATTACTAAACCCAGTTCTAGGGAAGGAAAAGCTTGCAGTTTTAAATAGAGTGGCAAAAGGGTCAAATAGAATAGTTAGAGATTCAAATAGGGTCCACCAAGACAAACTTTGTCAATTTTTTACATTTTTTTTATTTTGTGAAATTATTTGTTATCTTTAAACTTGTTCTGTTAGAATCTAACTTCTTAAGTTAGTTTTTTACCTTATGATTTCTAGTCTTCTCTTTTATTCTAAGTGTTGAGGCTATAATTTCCTTCTGTTTACATCTTAGCTGAATTCCCATGCTTGAATATAGAGTATTCTCATTAGTATTCATGTCCAAAAATGGTCTGATTTACACTGGAATTTTTCTGTGACCAAAATGTCACATAGGAGTGTTTTTTGAATGTCCAAACAGGAATTTTTTTTTCCTTTGTATAAACTTTGGGCTAATGATCAGCCTCACAAACTTAGGGATTTTTAAAGTTACGGGATTTTTTTTTTGAAGTTAGGAATTTTTAACCTTATTAACTTGTGATAAGATAAGGTGTATTGTATGAAAGTATTTTTGAAATTATCTAAAATAGACTCCCTACAAGGCTTATATATAATCAATTTTCTATGTGTGCTCAAATACTTATTTTCCCATAATATGATACATCAAGCTTTTAAATTATGCAGTTCAAATCTTGTACTAATTTTTCTCCTTAATATATCATTTATTGAGAACATTTTATTTAAATCTTTTATGGAGACATTTTCTGTTCTTTTCCTGTAGTTCTTTAAATTTTTACTTCCTTTTGAGTCTACAGCAGTGGGTAAGTGTGGGGAAACCTGTCTCAGACAGCTCTGAACTCTTGTGCTTTTATCTTAGCAACCGAAGAAAAAAGAGATATTTTATCCCTTTGCTTTGGTTTAAAATGTCTTCCAGATACTCTTAATTGATCTGGTGTGAAGCCAGTGATGCAGTTAAAATATACTTCTCCAGGATTTTTAAACTGGGTTCTTATAAAAATACTGAATGAACATTTATCAAAGATTTATTATTTCACTAATAAAGGAGCCAGATGCTAGTTGAAAAAGCATTTGAGGAACAAGCATTTATGTATCCCTCAGAAAATGCATTTAAACATTCTGAATAACATTTCTAGGTAGATAGAAAACTGGTTCATGTTCTACAAGTCAATAAATGATGACTTTGGGTTTATCTTTTCAAACATAATTTATACTACTAGTTGACATTAATTATTTGCATTGCTATGAGGTTTCTACAGATTAATCTCTATCCCTTACCAAGTTGTAAGTCTCCTTATCAATAGAAAATTAAGAGTCAAACAAAGATACATATTCCTAGAAAAATTAGATAATCCCCAGGCGGCTGAACAATGCCTAGTACAACAAAAGAACACCCAGTAATTTATTTTTCCTAATTTTATATTATATCTTTTTCTTAATAATGCTCTCCTCTTAGAAGAGTGGATCTTAACTAGGGTTTGAGATTTGGTCACTAAAACAATATTTTGGTGACCCATGGGGTTATTTTGGTTGTTACAATGAGGATCACTGCTATCATCAAGTAGGTGGAGACCAAAGGTGAGACTCAACATCTAGTATAGTGCCTACCATATAGTAGATAGTCAGTAAATATTTGTTGAATTAATTGAAGAGTAAATGAATGATGTTAGAGCTGGACCAAATTCTCCTCCTTCAAAGGCTGCATAATTTGGTTGGTCTTTACAAACTGTCACTCTCCCCTCACACTTCTAAATTCCTTGAATACTTCAAGTTTTTCAGCCTGTAACCTTTGCATAACCGATCCTGTCTGTCCACTCAGTTCCTCTTCCCACTCCTCACAGATCTGGCTGTGGACAATTCCTTACAGTTTAAATACCATCTCCTGGAAGAGATTGAGCACTCTATCTTAAATACCATCATCAGTCCTCCCCTTTCCTCAGAAAGCATCATGTTTCTTTTTTTTTTAACCCACTATCACAGATATTATATTATTATTTGTTTTATATTTAATTTCCTATTTATCTCCCTAATCACAGTGCAAGTTCTATGAGGGTGGAGACCATGGCTCTTTCATTCACGATTATATTTACAGCCCCAGTAGAGGGTCTTCTTGTACATTGTGGGCTCTCACTCAATGAATGAATGAATGTGTGAATGAAAGCAAAAAT